CGTAATGACACAGTATAAGTATCGTGTTTTAACAATATCTCACGCCTGCGGTTTTATATACGGTACTGTAACCTTTTGTGCCGCGCGCGAAATCTGTCCACACGATCGGCAGAGAAGGTCGACCGTGAGTACCCCCGCGCCGTTGTTGATTCCTTCCGGTACTGTTTTACTGCGGCGCGCACGAGGAAGATTCCCAGGAGGTATTCCTAGTAGCAATTAAATGCGTACAGTTGAGCGCGGGGTGCGCTCGGCGCTCGCTCGCGGAAAACAGGAAGCGAAGTGGGTCAGCGTTAAAATCGTCGCCATTAGAATTATACAGCAACACTCGTCCCCGCGAGTGCGTGCGTCGGGTATGCGCCGCGGAATTATTTCCGCGTAGATTATCATTATAGCGCGCGTCGAGGGCGCTCTCCCGGCGTTGACGCAACCAGTGCCTCGGTGTCGGGCAATTATGAATACTTATGAGGCAATTTGCGTGTCGAAATTGATAATGCGAACGGGTAAATTGAACGTAAAGCATCGCGTCCGAACGCGACATTTTCTCTCGGAGCGGCGCGTCAATGATGATCCTGAAATCGACTGATTTGAAATATAAATCTTGAGATATTAATAAACATGCATTAATAGACATGTTTAAACTTTCGTTTCAACTGTTTGTACGATAAATTCATTTTTTAATGTTTTTCCAACATTTTTTCAAAAATGTCTTGTGCGATAAATAGAATTGTACAATTATATTATATGAAAAATGTGATTAAAATATCTTTGAATTTTCGGTCGAAAATTTTTCGCTTTAAGTATCTGCCAGATATTCGCATACGTCACGACGTGCATTTTCTATTTTCCACTTATTTTCCATTAGCACAGATTGTGTTTAAACACTTTAATAAAAGCTAGTTACAGCGAAAACTACCGACCGCCTTTGCAGTTTCGCATTATCGTAAATTAACGCGAAAGCAGACAGCTCTACAATCCAGATAAACCGGTATTCCTTATCGCGCGTTGAAAATCTATCTATCGAAGTCGACTTCACCGTATACGAGGAATCATTAAAATCTCGACTATAAAAACAGCAGTAATAACAGAGTTTCTACAACAAAAAAAACCGTAAGACATAACTAAACGTCTGTTAAGAATTCGTACGATGATTACAAAAATGGGTTTGATGAAAGCACGAGCGAGAGTTTAAACAAATCGCACAGTTTTAGCTGCTGGGCTAAAATATATACATTCCTACGAAAGAGAAAGAGCGATAAGACCGAAAAATCGAAACTGGCAGTGTATAAGAAAGTTTACTGAATGAATACTTTTAAGAATGGCCAAATCTGCAACACGTGACCCTACCCAGACAGACCGCAGGAGGAGGAAGAGTTCAAGGCAGATATTGTCCGTGCTCACGGGGCGAAACTCCGGTGTCAAGGGCGGTGGCGGTGGCGCTCCTACGAGGATATTAAATTATTTACCGAAGCGTGACTGCGTCCACCGAATATTCTCTCGAGGAGCGTCCCGTCCCTACGGTCGTTCATCGAATAACGTTGACCGTTCTTCGGCGGGCAAGAAGGACAGGAATTACGACCTCTCTAGAATGTGCAGCGCCGCGCGATATATAATTTTCCCATAAACGTTTTTCCCCACGCGAAAGTGGCGCATACGTATAACATACGTATGGTGCACCAAGCGGAAGTTCTGCAACGCCGCGGCCGCCTCTGTGCGTTTTCGATCCGCCTGCATAAAAGTCGGACGGAGCCGTTAATTTGTTTCTCGTACTCGTGAGAGACGCGGAGACTCCGGCCGCAACGTTGTTGACACACACGAAAAGACGTGCAGATAAAAAGAAAAATCGTTGCAAATTACGTTACGTAATTTTTCAAGGGTACACCCATCTTGCCTCGCAGGCCGCGAGGGGTTAAACCTGTTCGTACGATTAATTATTCGCCTAAGAGGTATATCCGGACTCGCGGCGGGAATCGATCGGCACCGAAATGTAATAAGACGTCTGCAGAGGGAGAGAGGAAGGAGGAGGAGGGAGATTTTAATAATCGCCGGTTCTCGAATGCCTCGCGTAGGGCGTAGCTAATAATAAGCTGGTATAGGAAGCTCGCCGCGCTTAACGACTAACGGTTCTCGCGAATGGGAGTGAACGCGCGAGAAATTAAGGGAAATTTCTCAAAAATTTCGAGATCCCCTCCGTTTGCATGCATTAGAATTTTTCCCACCGCGTTATATAAAAATATAATATATGCATATAGCAAAATAATAACGAAAGATGTTAAATTGCAGTATACAAATCTTCATCAAGCGGGAACGATCATCTATCTGGTAATGAATTTCATTATTTCTAAAAAAAAAATAATAAAAACCTACAAAAGTTAGCACAGAAAACTCTTAAAAAAAAAAAGGCTTTTGCTTCACTCTTTCAATTACTGCTTAGAGCGATAAATAGAAAAGCAAAGCTTTGTCTATTTATTTAATTCTATTTATATCTCTGCCTGTCGTGCAGCTTCATTTCCAGCTATAATCATAAGCGCCAGCGATGACTTATGTACATACAATCCTATGCGCGCGAAGATAATGAATGCGTCTCGTCCCTGACCTCCCTCCCGACGCCGCCGCTAGTAAAAGCTAACTGAGATCGACGCTAATGCAACGGAAGAAAGAAGGAAGGCGAGGTAAGGCGGAAAGAGTCATTAACCCAAATATCTGGCGCGGATTCACCTCGAATCGGCGTTTCCCCTCGTGCGCATTCTTAATCGCGCGACGTGCAGCTGCAGCGGCTCGTCCTCGTCGTCGCGTTCCCAGATAACGGCGCAGCTTTTCCCGCGGAGTTTCCGACTTTCGGATAACTAATTAAAAGCGAGCTCTCCCTTCGCACGATCGCGCGCGCGCGGGCGCGCGCCTATAATGGCAGGCTAATTTCTATTTCATCCTAATTCGCCCGGCGCGCCGAGAAAATGAATCGGACGATTGAACGGTTGAATATAACGAGATGCGGCGCGAGAGTAAAAGTTTCTGCTAACGAGCGCCGGAGCATGAGACGAGCGGCGCACAATAGCGGCGTACAATAGCGGCGCACAATGGTGGACACCAACACACAGTCGAGCATCTCAGAGAATGCGCGAAATGCGTATCCAGTGTACCGCAAAACGCCGGATATTCGGATGCGTTGCAGCCCGGTTGTAGGTATATATGCGTATATCCGAATGCTTTCTCGACGCGACGCGCAGCATCTTTCACGAAGAAAGGAATAGGCCCGCATGTCTCACATCGCGCGATGTAAGAGAGAAACGCAGAGCGAGGAGACGTTTTCGCATTATATTATCGTTGGCGAGAGCGGTAAGGAGGCGCTCTTTTAAATTTTTCGGACATCTTATCTGTATGCCGAGCAGATCTCTGAGGCCCCATGATCGGGGACCGAAAGTGATGTCGATGAAACTAAATAACAGAGAAAGACAGGGTATGTCATACGGGGACGCGTCGGATCCCCCGAGATCGGATCGGTTGTAATTACGTGCCTCGTAAATTTTAACGATCCTCGATCGGCACGGCCGAAAAAAAGTGGGCGTTGTAATTGACAGTGTGCGGCGTTCTACAATCAAATTTACGAGTTTCTCGTTGCGCGCGAAATAAGATTTAGCGCGAGTATGTGTTTCTAAATGCGCGGATATTAATCCTCAAAAAAGATTGATTCGAATAACTGTGCTAACCATCGCGAATCAAATTTCAGATTAGCGAAAATGCATCGACCGATCAATTCGATATTGTATAAAAACCGGATTTTTATTATTTATATAAATTTACCGCGATCGTTATTCGACATTAATCGCGAGTTTGCGTAAGCTTATCAATATAGATATACGTAAAGTAATCTTATGTATAATCACGCAATTATTTTGTATTATAATGTATCAATCACGCGCGTATATTATAGTTTTATTAAGCACTTCATGCTGCATAAAATAATAAGCTATTATTTTCCGACTATATTTTCTAGAAGCTCGACATATATATATTTTACAGTTCATTTTCTCTGCAAAAAAAAGTAACTGAATGGCGTTTAGCACGAATCAAATATTCTGTCGACATTATGTGTTAAATATTAAAAGTCAATTTTACACACACAGATCTAATTTTACGACTAACAAGATCTGATCAAAGTATTCCCCCAACTTCTTTTTCTTTCGTGATACGTTGCTGAAGTGTGTCAGATGAAAGTCTGAGATGAAAGTGGGGTCGGGCTGTTGAAGCTACGTTAGGTTTAAGTTTGAATTATCTCACAAACGGAACATCGCGTAGTCCGATGAACAACGACGCAATATTGCGACCGACTATCAACTGACTTCGCTCTTAACGGTAGAGGCACACGAATACACTCGGGAATTCGCACAGCATGCAGGTGCGAGGACCCGAAAGGTTAACACCGAGACGTCTCGGCTCAACGTCCTCGGCTTTGTATCCTCTGGCTTTTCAGCGATTCATCTCGTAGAATCCATTGTGTTCGACGCGTTCGCGTCTTTTCAGATTTTCTTGTACCTACGTCCGTGCATTTTATGGGCGACCAGGACCCGACCCAGATAACCAGGAAAAGACTTTCCTGTTTTCATCCATTGGAAAAAAAATCGAGGAGAGCCGAGACATTCAAGAGACGCATCCTTTGAATTTTATTTACAGTTAGGGTGCAGGTAATAATTTTTGAAGTTTATTCTATCGTTACATTTCACGCACTCAATCGCGGCCCCGTTCTCGGATAGTAAACAACAAGTAACAAATGACAATAATGACGAACGAGAAATTATGCGTTGAACGGTATTTAATTTCAGTGCACGGTATGGGATACGCAATGGCGATTCCTAGACGATTTTAATCGATCCTTATCGCGCCTAGCGGACTATATCGAGCGGGCGATCATTAATCAGATCTTTATTAAGATCGCGGCATCGATTATCAAGAGCGCCAAACGCAAGCGGGAAAGCATCGGGCGGCGAAACAAAGAAAGCACTTACCGTCGCGGCTTCGGACGAAGTATCTCGTGACCTGAATCGGATATGCAGATGCTCAGGCTCAATGGTCCGCCGTAGGGCTCCGAGGGAGTGCTGGCAGTCTGGACGGTCGATTGTTGAGGGCTGGGGATACCGCTCCAGCCAGAGGTGCTGCCTAGGAAGAGCGGCTGCTGTCCGCAACCGCCGTCCATCGTCGGCCGTTCCAGATTCATGATGTCTCCAAGAGCTAGCACCGGAAAACCTGCAAATTATTGCGCGTGTTATACGCCTTTCGACGTCAGCCTCATCATCATCTAGCACTCTTTTACGATCGGAGCGAAATCCCGGAAACGTATAAAGATGAGTCTTTCACACGAGCACCGCGGAGAGATAAACTCACCGCTTACATTTTACGTCAATATCATTTCCTCAATTTTATTCGCGGTATCCTTTTGCTTGCAGTTCAATTTACTTCTTCACGCTTTACTTCGTTTCGCGTTAATAGATCTTGTTGGTCTCCGATTGAGTTTAGACATAGATCTAAGATTGGTGTAATGAAGAATTCCATCGTTCGAATATTGATAGCAGCGAGTAATACGGCTCGTCGTTATAAAGGGGAAAAACATTGCAATGCTCGCAGACTTGACGAATGAAAGGAAATGTTGTACAAACATGTCGCTCGAGATAATGCAGAAACCTCACCATATTTCGCACGAGAAATCTAGCTGAGCAGAAATAATCTGCGAAAGAAAGTAATTATGCGAAACTTTCTCGAGCGCGAAGGTCATTAACGAGTCGGATAATTGTGGGGGAGTAATTAACGCCGAGATGTTATCACGCTAAGGAAAACAACTATTCAGATTTCATTCGTATAAGAAAAGACAGCAGAATGACAAGTAAAAACGAGAACAAAAATCATACATTGTTAATGTCTAATTCTTATTACTCCATTCTGTAAATATAGAAAAAAAGATATTCAAAAGAAGAGAAAAGAAAGCAAAAGGGAAGAGAAAGTTGAAATGAATAAAAGCGGAAAGTCGATTTCGTAACTTGTAAGTCAGAAAATATTAAAGAACTTTATAAAAATGTATAAAATTGGATGGAGAGAAATAGAGGTCTACTTTAGAAATTGTAAATTGCTTGTATTTTCCGCAACATGTATTTCACATCGAAATAAAACTAAGACATTTTTTTTCCATTTTACACGTATGACTCACCTCTGATTGTGTGAGTAGGTATCTCATATATCTCTAATTCACTCTAGACCATTTTATTCTCTCGCAAGATTAGACTTCCAGATCATTAATTTCATATGCACACGAAAAAGTACCAATTACGGTGCGTTCGCGGAAGCGGAGAAAGGAATAGATTATGGAGCGGCGAGCGTGTGCCCCTGAATTTGCGACCGGTTGCGACAATCCAGGTAAATGGACCGGATAAACGAACAGAAACGCAAAAATACTGCTTCGTACAAAATGCATTGTCGGAACAAGTGCGTCGTGGAAAACGCGATCGTCTCTCGCGCGATGAGAAATTCCGTCTCAATACACGTCGTCCCCGAGGCTCGGTCCGTATACGCGTCGTGCACGCTCGTGTTGCTCGCTTTGACGAACTCTTGTATGCAATTACTCTGCCAGGCTGCCAAAGTGCTTCCTTAAGCGTGCGTTTCAAGATGGGGGGACGACCCAGTACCCCATGACGTGCCTGCCTGCCTGCCCGGCTACTCTTTCGGGGAACTTTTATCGATGTAATATTCGCTGAATCTCATCACGATAATAATGCGACAGTCAGAATGGCGGGAGCAGTCGTAAAGTCAATGTTCTCTTTCGTAAAACATCAATAAGAGAGCTAAGTAAGAGAGTTGAGAGAAAGATTTTTTTTCGCTAATGTTAAAAGTCAATAAAAAAAAAAAAAATAAAGAGCAATCCTGCAGCCAACGAAGTTTGAAAAGGAAAGAATTGAGTGATAACATCTGTTAATTTTGGTACAATTATAAATCCATTTTTCTTCATTGAAAAAGAAAGTGAGAAGTGGGCCGTTTACATGTACATAAAATGAGAAACTACCTTTCTAAATATATATTTATAAAATTGTAATAAACTGATCACGCTCTTTAGAGCACAGTGAATGGACTTCGCGGTTCAATTTCACGATCCTCGGTTCGGTGACTGATTTAACGCGCGAGGCACTGAGGTAACTGGTTTAATGTAAACGGACTCTCAAAAAGTGGCGTTGTGTCCCGAAGTGTATTTAACTGACCTCGACTGGTCTCACACACATCTGCCTTTCTAACCGATCGGTCGGACATATGTACACGCATACCTTGGAAAGGACGGGGTTGCGTACGCGAATGTAAAGCTGTGCCCGACGGTAAACCTATCATTTGCGAGAAGAAAATCAGGGTCAACCGGTAATCGTTAAGTGATTTTGCAAAAAGCGAAGCTGAGATGTCGAAGATTCCCGGAGAAGTATGCCGTTTATTTGGAAGGGACACCTATATCATAGCCCGTTGTTAAAATCTGTCTGTTGCTTCATACAGAGCAGTCACGCGAATAGTAGCTCGTGAAAAGAAAAAACTTGACTGTGTGCTTAATTGCCTTTTCTCATGCCATTTTCATTAGCTTGATCCCCTCAGTATCGCGTTACATAATTGTGGCATAATTTCTAATTATGTCATATTAAAGATAAATTAAAAATTTATATATATATATTTATATACATATATATTTTTCTATGACAAAAATGTTTTATTATTACTCAACCCTTTACTTTCAATAATGATTAAAATCTGAAATGCGCAATACATGTTCTGCTGTGAAAAGGTACAAGTATCTATTAATTCTTTATTACATATCAATCAAGCAAAAACTTGAAATTCAAGCGAATCAGGCAAGTGTACGACAACGTCGAAGGTATTGAGACGATTTCTTCGAGGCGACACCTGACAGATCGGACTCATCTCGATCAAACCACTGATGATTATAGACCTTTAAGGACCGGTTGCATGAACGTCACGCAATGTTAATTTTGGTTAAATAGATTTTCTGTCGTTATTTATAACGCAAATAAAACTACACAGAAGAAAACGGCAAAATTAAGTTTATTTATGCTGTGCTTCTAATTGCATCGTTTCTGTTTGTTAGATCTTTCCTCACGCAATTAAAATATAAAGTACAAATTATTAAAAAAAAAGTGTGTGTGTGTGTGTGTGTGTGTGTGTGTGTGTGTGTCTAAAAAGAAAAAATAGAAGCAGAGAATTTATAAACCGAATATTTGAAAAGTCACGCGCGAAGGAAAATTTGGGTCCATCAAGAGTTCTCGGAAGAGCATTATACATCTACATGTAACGTATATGTGTGACACGTGACACACATGTGAAAACGTGTTCGGAATCGGAGTCACGACTTCACAATTGTTAATTGGACGCAGCATTTCCCGGATGTCCTATAAAGACATTTTGGAGTCAATTGGGATCGTGAAAATTGACCTCTCCGTTTGTACAAATTAAACGTGAACTTTAAACGCGCGCCTAACATGTTCTTCTTTTTATTATCGCGCAGCAGTAATTTTTCTATATACATTTCTTGACTCGAACAGATGTCTATTTAAGAATTTTTAAAAATTTGATTTATCTTTATGAAATCGAGCGAGAATCTTCTGGCGCGCGTGACACTCTCAGAGGGTGAAAAACATCAGGAGAAAAGGGGAGGGAGAGAGCAGACGGAACTCGGGGCACGGTGCAATCTTGGCGCGGCGTTGGACCCCGTAATACACGCGGCATTGAGAATACACGCATATACGCGGCGTGGTATAAGCGACGTGCACGCGGTCGTCCGCCCCGCGACCGCCGCATTCCAGGGGCTACCCAAACTGAAGCCTATACCTTATACACCGAGCTCTCTCTCCTCTTCTCTCTTTCACTTCTCTTCCTCTCCCCGTACACGCTTCGCCGCGATATCTTCCCTCCGCGCCTCGTACATCCCTTTACCTACCCGCGTAGCGCTTTTTTTTTCCTACTCCACTCTCGTTCTCTCCTCATCTCCCTCTTCTTCTTTCTGTCCTTTCTACCATCTCTCGCGAGAGAATCCGCGCGCGCGAATCACGTCCCTCCGCTCTGTACAAAAATTTACATATATTCTCTTTCTTTCTCTCTTTCTCTCTCTCTTATTTTCCTTCGACCGCGAACGTGACGCGACACTTGGCACTATCTCATCGGCATCATCAAATTTCATTCGATCACGAGGTTTTACGAGACGACGCGCATTGGGTTGCTCTTGCGAGCCTTTTGTCCTTTTTCAGCATAGATTGAGGATCGATTTAATTTCAATCGAGAGGCTCAGTTACCTTTCCGCCTTTTTCCGTATTACGTCTATCTATTACACACAGAAAATAATGACAAAAAGAAGAATGAGATATTGATAAGAGAACATAAGATCTGAGCTTGATTTTGAAAAGATCTAAATTAAAATATTTACAAATATGATGGATGACGATTAAAGAGTGTAATCAAAATTATACAATCAACTCGGTTAAAATAAATATTGAAGGGATCAATTTTAACAAGACAGAAGAATCCTAAAACGCTCCATAAATATTACTTAAAGTTAAGCAAGATTTAAAGGATAGAATTTTTGTTACACATATACATGCATATATATATATATATAATTTTTTTATCAATGCACACTGACAAAGAACGTATCTCAGTATTCATACATTGCATATATTATACAATTTTACAGCTTTTAATAGCTTTAAACGGCGGTTTTGAGGCTCTTCGAATTTTAACTTTACATAATTGTTCGCGTTTAAAAGCAAATTTAAACTTTAAACAAAGAAACAAAACAGAGAGCAAACAGAGAGCATCGTCGTTTATTTATAATAAACGATTTTTTAAGGATGGCAAAATAAGCAAAAAGACATACACGATCGATGTATATAATTAGAGATTCGTACGAGTTCTCTGAAAGCTAAATTGTGATCGATACTTTTTGTAAACTTTTTAATTTAAAGTATACAATTACAATCTCCGAGTTCACACAACTTCATCAATTTTCTCCGCTTTCCATTTCATGGAATCGATCAGTTTGACTTCAAAGAGATACATGTATGACTAAAAAGAGAAGACATTCATTGCCAGGGCATGTCGAATGAGACTTACAAGTTGTTCAACGCGTTGATAGAAAGGGGCGCATCCACGTCCTCGCGCTGTCGGACACATATCTGGAAGGCCGAGGGGACCAAGCCGCACTCTTGCGACCGAGGGTTCGCGTCCTCCAACGAATTTCCGCCACTCACTTGTAAGCCATTTTAATGCTGTCCAAGACGGTAGACTTGTTTCTTTCAGCTGAACTTTCCACGTCCTCCTAGAATCTTTTCTTTTCGAACAGACAAAGAGAGATAAGTTGAAGAATCTCACAAAGAAAGACTTATCGTATCTTTCTTGACTACAAATACACTTTATCTCTATAATCGACAAAATTTATGGAAAATGTGTATACATAAAAAAAAAATTAACTGAAGTGAACACGCAAAACGTTTCTTTTCAATTTAATTTTATTATTTATGAATTGAATTTTCCGATTCTTTAAAAAATTTAGTCGGCAAAGTTTACTGAACCTTGAAGATTAAAGTGACGTACAAACTTCGAATGGAACTGCGAATGATGTCCCGTTATTTATTTCGGCTTCTGACGCTCAATTCCCTTCGCTCTCGACGCTCGAAGTCACCGATTCATTCTCCGCGTACGCGCATCACTACGTGTTCACTTCGACCCCATTCCGCAACACACTCGGCGCATTTTAAAAGACGATCGGTTAAAATATTCTGATTTAAACGATTAAATCGAACTTGAGGATCGGCTCTTTCGGGGACAAGCCGAGACCGACGCCGCGAGAATACGCTTTGTCGCAGCGCGTTTAATGTACAGAAGGTGGACGAGAGTGGGCAGCCAAAAGGAACAAACCTCTCGACACGCGCGAGCGTGGAACTGTAAACACGTTCGGGCCTTTAAAAAAAGGCCTCTCTCTGTCTCTCTCTTTCTCTCGGCAGTTGACCGACGCGGATACGGTCAGCGGGTCGCACGATCACCCGTGATGCCCCGATGCCGATGCGATCCGATGCGATGTGGGCGCAGCCGCGGGAGATGTCCCTGCGACTCCTGCGAGAGATTGGAGAGATGCGCAGATATAATCACTGTGAACTGCACGACGGTCCATTCGAAATTTACTCGCGTATATACACACCGCGCGCGTATTCGCGCCGATTTTCGCGATCCGCGTAATCGCGTGCGCGCACGCCCGCCGCGATCGACCGGGCTGTCGTCGATCGCCGCTGCCACCGTCGCTTTTCGGCAGCTGTCAATTACCGCTAACACAGTTGCCGCGTTTATGCAGCAGCATCCCCGATCCGACCACTTTCGGTCCAGCCAGAGGCCGACGAAGAGAAGAGGAAAGAACAAAAAAAAACAAACGCGCCGCGAGTCTGTGAATTGCACCGTCGCCACCTGCTGGATCTTTCCGGAAACGCATGTGAGTCCTCCCATTTACCGCGTAGTCTGGCAGTCGCCGAGTCCGCGGCAGATTCGAGGGAGCGTAGTGTGTCGCCGTGATTCGTGAGCCTCGCAGCATGGAAAAAAATGATTAGGACGACGTAGCCTATAATGCTGGAATAATTTCAAAAATAAAACAAATTGTTCCAGGAGCAAATTGGTATGCTTTAAACTAATTTATATATGCAAATATATCACTCAAGTGATTCGTTTCCAATGCGATTAAATTCACGCGTCAAGAGCGATGCGGCGCGCGGCGTCGCTATAATGCGTCCTACTCTTAGGCTGCGGTCCGATTTACGCTTGCAGCGCTCGTGATCATAATTTGTCTTTATTTAATATTTGATTAACGGCAAGGATAAAAGTATTCCAAAAGCGTTGGAGCGTGAATGCTGTGAATCGGACCGCAGCCTTAATAAACATCTAGCACGGACGCGCACAAATTGTATTACCCGAGCAAAAAAATCGATTTTGCTATGTAATTTGGATCCACTTCTTCAGAGGGCGTTAGTGTACGAGGTGCATTTTAGCGTACAGCCAAAATGTCGGCATGTGAGCATGTCCGCTCTCGGATCCTCTCTGATTGTAACATACATAGTATGTACATATCTATTCGTGTGGTTGTTTATAACCTAAAATTAAAAGATCGGTAAACTGTCGTGCGGGTCAGTCCGGCTATAAATTATTTTGACTTACTATTACTATTCTACTACTATTATATTACTTGCCGTCAGTCTGCCAATAAGTGATTTCTCGAAAGCAATTTAGACAAGTGAATATAATTGACAACATGAACGTCTTACGTTCGTGCATTAAAGCCGTTACCCTAGGTAGAGGTGTTCGAGCTGTAAATTACCAAGGTTAGACGTGCCTCCGTTGTAATGCGTTATGATTTTATTTTAAGGAGTAGAATTCCTATTTGCCCTTTTACTTTATAATTACATGAATTTTATCTTTTATGCCTGCCAGGACAGAGATACGTTAAAAGATGGGTGGCACCGACACAAATAGAGATAACCAGACGCAAGAAGAAGCTGGGCGAGCAGCCGGAGCCGAAACGTAACACCTTTCTCGAGTGGAATAGATCCGCGGAGATTTATGCCTTCAATCAACGGCTGTCTGAACGTTTCGATACAGAAAAATTGGAGCAGGCCTTCACTCACAGATCATACGTTATTCGAGAGGAGCAGAGACAGAAAGAGATGGGAATAGAAAATCCCGTGCTCGCCGTACAAGATAACACTGAGCTTATTAGGAAAGGCGATAAGCTTACATCAGAGAGCGTGCAGAATTATTTAGTCCAAGTTTTACCACACGCATCTGAGGATGTCATAATGTATGTGTGCCATAAATAGAATATAATATAGGGATAAATGTTACATATTATAATATTAGAATAATTAAGAATATTACTTGTGTATTTTCTAGTTCGTTGCACGACTACCTTCTTTCTGAGGAAATCCTAGCTAAAGCAGCTTTACATATTGGAACGAAAGATATTATTTTAACGGAAGTAAGTATAGAGATATATTCAGTATATGATTACAAATTTACTAATAATATTTTAGCGCACTTTGTCTATGTTTAGCAGATTTTATTAATTTCTCGAATTGGAGGCAATATTCAAATTGTGTTCTTAATTCGCTTTTTTTTTATATTTAATCTTACAGGAACATCCAGTGGCTCAGAAGACTTTAGCCGATACGTTTCTTGCACTTATCGCGGCGCTCGCGGAAAGTGTGGACGCGAATCACGCGGCGAATTTCGTTCGAGACTTCTTGATTGTTACATTGGCAGAGAAAGATCTGACAGAAATATGGAATCCAGCTCAACCTGTCGAGCTCTTAAATGACATTCTACAGAAACAAAACCGACCATCCATTGAACCAAGACTTATCGCGCAAACGGGACAAAATACACTCTTAGCGACATATCATATAGGAATGTATTCGGATAAGCAATTTCTAGGTTCAGGTAAATGCAACATTGGACAAATGTAATGATATACAATTTTATCTAGTTTGTTTACACATTCCGTTATTTGATCTAATAAATTTTTATATTCCTTTTTCAGGATTTGGTCAAACGATACAGGAGGCCAAGAATGTAGCTGCCATGAATGTTTTAAGCCGCATGTTTGGTCTGTTAGACTCTAGTAAACCAATTCGATTCGATAAAACGGTAAATCTATCTTTGTGAACAAAGTGAACTTTATTCTTGAGAAAAAGAAATTTAGTAACAGTGCTAATGTTGCAGTTATTTTTTTGTATATACATATAAAATTTGAAATTAAAAAAATATGTATATATAAAACAGTAAAAGTTTTTACCTATAAAAAAATATGTAAAAATTATGTATAATAATTGTGTGATATATATGTATAATAGAGAAGCATATGAAACATGTGTACAATCGTGGACACATCAGTTGCAACACTCTTTTTATAGGTTTCAAAACGCGCTAATATGTATTTTGCAAATGTGGACCATGGTTGGTGTTATACTGTCTCTAGACTAAAGATAGTACATCGTGGTTTGCATTTGCAAAATATAAGTTATCTATAAAATATATATTAGAAACCTATAAAAAAAAATGTGTTGCGACCGATGTGTCCACGACTGTACATATACATATATAATACATAATAATATGGCATCCTTTATTTTAAATTTGCCATTAATTGATTTCTCTGCGCTGATTTCTTCACGCTGCAATGGTGCCCCATCTAGATGTAACATTTAAGATCTATCTACATGTTTTAGAAATCCACGATCATTGGACAATTACTCGGTTACCAACGAAATTCTTCAATAAGAATCAAGATAATTTCATGTAAACGGGTCACACGGTAGTTCTTGGCGTTCTATCCCGCGAGAGGGCACCAACGGCAACGAGAACTCGCGTTACATCCTTACGTAAGCTCTTCTACTCTATCTGATCTTAGTTGACCGAAAACACGCGCGTTGGAAATGCACGTCGAGCCGGAGACAAGCCTCTCCGGTCGAGCCTCGGGATCATGCGATCTCTGGTCGGCGATTAGGATCTGTACTCGGGATTTCGATTAGAATCCGATTGTCGAGTTCACAACTGCGCGAGTTGGTAGCTCGCTTGGACTGTCTCGACCTTTCCGAAAGTTTCGCTCCTCGAATTTTCCGAGGATCGCAATTTTTCCACGTTTTTGTTTGAGTTCAGTTTCCTGTTTTTTTTTCCTTTGAAAATTTACGTGGAAACGATTTCTACATTTACGCGTCGGACGATTATGATGAATCCTTATTCGCGGATTCTACGACACCAAGAGATGAATCCGTCGCAATTTCAGTCGTGCCGAGCTCGAGATTTATCGGTAATTCTCTCCTTTCCTTTTTTTACTTTTACGTATATCTAATTTACAGTGTGCGCTTTACAAAGAATACGTAGATTATTTGAAAATATTAATAAGGCGATCTCTCGATGACGTTTATGAATCTAAGATTAGAGTTACGGGGGTCCCTTCTAAAAATGTACCTCTGCCATTTTCTGAACCGACCTGACGGGTGCTCGGCTCGGAAAAGATTTACGAATCGCGCGCGAATCTGTTGTCGTCGAGTCGTTGAATACGGTGAGGATGTGGTTAACGAAAAGAAGAAAGGCGATCCCCGGCACGCGAAATAACAATCGGAGCTTCGGTATGAGGCGGTCCCCTGGCAGATGGCTCCGAAAATGAATTTCCGCGAAACCGGACGCAGCTTGCGACGCGTCGCTGCAGCGACCTTTAACGATGACGATGCCGATGCTCTTGTGGAAATGATGCAACTAATGGGGACTAACTATTCAGCTGCTAACGCACGTAACGCTATGTGCGCCGAGGACGACGAACGGTGTTTATTCGTCGCCAGATGTAATGGTCGTTCATTAAATGACAAAAGAGATATATGTGGCAGGATGAAAAATAAAAAAGATCTGTCTGAAAAAAAACCCGGTAAAGCGTTCCAATCTTGACGATTTTTTTGTCTGGTTTTCTGGTCGTTGAAAATCTCGAAAGACGCCCACTTTAGTTCTCGCGTCTTAAATCGATAAAATGCATGAGAGATCGGCTTGAAAGCTCTGACTATTCAAAATCTTACACGACGCGACTTGCGCTGTACAAAATTTCGAATATTTATTCAAAGTCAAAGTAAATTATTAAAAACGAAATTAGCGATAAATAATTTCTTCCAGAATTCGTATAGCATCAGCTAAAAAAGAGAAAGTCATAACGAACGTAATCATTTGCTCTTTTTCGTATTCGTAGATAAAGGCGTTGATAATAAAACTAACACGCAATTCCATGTACTACATGTTTCCTACGCGCATACAAGTGAAAAATATATCTAAAAATCGAATCTTTTTGTAGACCGTATAGATCCAGGATAACCCCTTAGCCGCCCCGACGCGCGATATCCCTCCGTCATAAAAATTCTCCAATTTATTGTTGCGCATATTTCAGAATCGTCGCGAGCTTTCCTCGCGGCGCACAAATGAGGAAAGCGCGGTGCAAGTCACGCCTTAGATAACCACGCGTCGCGATAAAATAAAAAGAGGATTATCGATATACGTATGTGCTCTGGCGGTATATCGAGTAATCAGTAATATATCGGAGTGGCGAGCAGGCGACGGGACTAGGCGTAGTCGTGGGGAACGATTTTGCGAGACGACGACGCAAACCGCGAGAACGAGAACGACCGGTCCTCGCGCGTCGCGTTCTCGCATTGCACGTCTGACAAGGCTGGCGTTCTCCTCAACGATGACAGATTTCTCGCGAGAAGTGTGGCGATTGACTATATATATCTCATATTGACTAAAATCGTCACCGAACGCGGGCTCGCGGAAATCGAACCCTTTCAACGAATCCCGTATGCGATTCCACGTTCCGCGGCGCAAGTTCGGCCCGGGCAATTGTTCGCTCGGAGAGAATGAGTTATTCTTTTCGCGCACGATTATTGCACGCGTCCCTCGTCTCTCTCTCTTTCTCTCTCTCGTTCAACGTCGTTCGCGTCGGCTTTGCGTTGCGAAAGACAAGCCACGTTGAACGTCGCCCGGCGCTGCACAGCGTCACCTCCTTATACGGGGTGCCGAGAAACTACGTACGCGAGAAAGATGCGGAAGGGTTGCGTGGAGGATTTAGAAAAATGCGAAAGATGCTTGACTTCTCGCACATTAGCCGCCAAATAAAAAAATCCAGCTACGCCTATACTATAATTGTAAGCCGTCACGTAAGATTTTATGCAAACGCGAACAGTATATATGCTAATGTGCTGAAATATTTAAATGTGCTAAAGGTTTAGAAAGCGCGTAAAAGGAGAAGAGATTCGATTAAATTTTCGTAGAAGAAAGACTAAACGCAGACTGGGAAATTGTTAAACCTCTCGTACACATATCGTCCTCAAATGTTCTATATATATGCATATATATATATGTATAATTTCCATATTACCTCTATGCCTTATCGGGTAGTTTTTATATAATCAAGTATAATTGCTTGAAGAAAAATAAAAAATTTATGCGTTGGAATAAAATGACGACTGATAACGTTTGTATCTAACCGGTTGTATCTTCACCTTTAATTTATTTTTAACGACAAAAGTATTTCCTTTTCTTGCGACCTCTGATCGATGCGGGTCTCTGCACAGTCTAAAAACATCCTAACGCGCGATCGTAAATGCGGAAAGTAATATTTCCACGGCGAACGGGAAATGTCGCATCGCTAACGGGAAACGCATATTGCTGCACGACACAGCGACGCATAAAACGCGCGTCTGTCGTGCGAGGAGGCGCAAGTTTTTTGATACAATCGCCTCCCTGCTGCTAAACGACAGAAACGAAACAACGCCAAGTCGAGTTTTACGCGCGTTCAGATACTTTCGGTATGTAGATGTTTCCGCGCGACGCAATTCGCGGCGCGACGCATAATGTGGAAGCGTTTCGTGTTTAATGCGGTTAACTTCATCATTTTACGCTTCATACGCGATCGCCCTGAACTTCACGCGCGAGTCTGAAATCCGTTTTAGCTTCGGGCCAACGAGAGATTCGAGGATAGGACGCGATATACCTATACCATTTCAATTGTATCGAATTGTGCATGCAGTGCACAATTATATACGTATAAGAAAGCAAAAAAAAACTGCGTCATATCGCAGTATTTTATGGAAATTATATATGAATAATAATTGTACATGAATAATCGCAAGAATCATTTTCTCATTGAGTTTCCCTCTGTTCGCTAAGTCGTATAGATATAGCTATCACGGACGAGTCTACAATAATTTAATAAAAATACTAGTCGTACGTGTTGAGACGCGCGTATTGCGCCTCGAGAACGTGGCATCGCAAACTACATGCGCAATTAAAGTTTCGAATCATATGGATTGCAAATTACGCTTGTTAGATCTGTCCGTCTACTGTCGCGCGCTTTACATTCATATAAGAAATGGATCGTGCCGTTTCTTTCTCTCGGCAATCGTGTGCAGATAACACAATTCTTTTCCCGCAAACGCGCTTTTTGTATTACACAACGAATGTAATTCGATAGAAGGAACGTTGGCCGAACGAATTCCGTAATTCGTAGAGTTACGGATCGACGGAAATAGGCTTAGCGTACGGCCGCGCGGTTAGAATGCGATCCGAAATTTTTCTATATCGGTCGCAGGTATAATATTGATTATTTATGATCCACGCTATCCCCTTTAAGGTGGTTCATCCTTGTCCCCGTCCGCGCACCGTACCGCCCCGCGTTGCCACCACTACCACCAGTCCGCCGCGCTCGTCCCTGTCGTCCCTGTCTATGTACCGGCGTTGCCTCTCCTTCTCCCGCGCGCGCGCCATCCCCTTCGTTGTCTTCTTCCTTTCATCCCTCCCTCTCGCTCACGCGCGCTCGTTCGCTCGCTCGCTCGCACGCCCATGCGCGCACATGCACACGCGGCACACATATACACACACACACACACATTTGTATAGCACGCACACGTTCTCTTTCTCTCTCTCTCTGTCTCTCTCCTTCTTCTCTCTCGCTCTACCTCTCGTATTATCCCCCTACTGGTTCTCTATTCCTGCGTGTAACGACTCAATGGCGCTGCCACACCCTTGCGCCATCCAGTAATCAGTGCTATTGTTTTATAGTTCCTCTTCTGCTATTGCTTCTCGATACTAGGAAAGGCGACCCATCGATCCCGGAGTCGGTTCGGGAACGGCCGCGGTCGCGTCGCTTCGACTCGCCTTGCCCTGCCTCGCCTTGCCGCCACTTCGCCTCGCCTCGCCTCGCCTCGTCGCGTCTCTCGTCTCGCGCCGCACCAAAGCGA